TTCTCTCCTATTTACCAATCTATTGGTATATCTATACACCAATGGGTTTAGCAGTGAAAAGGTCCATGACACAAGCGTGCAAGATTCGGATTTGCCAACCTTTTGCACCGACCAACGGAAAAGGTTGTCTGAAATAAGGTAGGTACTTGGATACCAGTAGAATCAATTGGTGATCATGATTCCCCTATTGACTTGGCCATAACTCCTTCAATTTAAACCCAAGCAGCATGGAGCCCTGAGAGGAAGAAGGCGAAGAAGAAGGAAAAGAAGAAGGAAAAGAAGGTCAGTTTAGAGGGGGCAATTTGATCAACAAAGATGGTTTCTGTTTCTTTCGCTAAAATGGTGATTCAACCAGCAAACATTGGACTTAGCAAGCTGCGGCAAGCAGGGATTTTTTTCACCAAGCAGCATGGGTCGACTCATCTTTTTCATGGCCATGATTGAGGGGTCCATTCAGAAACGATCAGATACATGTCAATACGCATTAAGATTCAAATCTAAATCACGATGGTAAATATGGCCCATAGCCATATATAGCCTCTGGTTATGACTAAGTGACATTCACAGTTTGCCATGGTTAAGCCATGGCCCTAATCGAAATAGATGCCCCTTCCCGAGCTTCATAGCATGGTGATTTGTTATCCATGGCAAACTGTGAATGTCACCATCCCTTCGAGGTGAGACATTCACCAGGTGGAATTGCGGTAGTTCATTATGAGGTCGTTAGATCAAAGGAATCAGCAGCTATACTTAATAGATCTTAATAGTCTATTAGAGTAAAAATAGCTATCACGAATCTAGCTAATCATATTTCATTTTTTCAATATTCACTATCATGAATCACTAGAAATTAGCATCATGAATCACTAGAATCTCTATAATAGTTTTAGTAAATGCTTCACCCACTATCAATCACTATAGTATGAATCACTATTAGTAGTTATAGATTATAAATCACCGTAATAGTTATATGCACCAGAAATTACCATCATGAATCTTACAGTTGTAGTTGTTAATATCATGATTATAGAGACTGATTATAGTATATTCTCTATATTGACTAATCATAATAGTTCTAGTTACTATTAGTTATTTGTAGTGGTAATATAGTGATAGTGATAGTTAACGTATGTGAATGTTGTTACTGGTTATATGATTGTTGGTAGTTGTTACTATTAATTACTCTAATTTGATAGTTACTTCATCCACTATTAGTCACTATTAATCATGGTCATAAATCACTATAATTGACTATACCATGGTTATAATCACTATGATAATATAATATACTCACTGAAATCACTGTTCATCAGGGTTATAAATCACTATAATAGTTGTCACTAAAAATTACCATCAATCACTAGATATTACAATCATTAATCATGTACATCTAGTTATTGATTAATTATTATTGATTACAACCATATATTGATGCTGGTTATCATGTATTGCAATCATATTAGCATCAATATATATATATATATATATCACTAGTTGCCATGGGCGCTGCAGGGCGCCTGGGTGTTTTGTTGTTTTTGTTGGTGTTTTTTGGTTATTTTTGTTGATGATGGCGTGGGTTGGGGTGGGGTGGGGGTGGGTGGGATGTTAACGTTCATGTGACGCTCACGAGGTTACGTTGTTCATGGGGTGGGGTGGAGTGGGATGTTAACGTTCATGTGACGCTCACGATGTTACGTTGATCATGGGGCGGGGTGGGGTGGGATGTTAACGTTCATGTGACGCTCATGATGTTACGTTGGCGGGGTGGGTTGTTAACGTGTGACGCTCACGATGTTACGTTGATCATGGGGTGGGTTGGGGTGGGATGTTAACATGTCACGCTCACGATGTTACGTTGATCATGGGGTGGGGTGGGGTGGGATGTTAACGTTCATGTGTTACGCTGATGATGTTACGTTGATCATGGGGTGGGGTGGGGGGATGTTGAGGTTCATGTGTTTACGCTGATGATGTTACGTTGATCATGGGGTGGGGTGGGGTAGGATGTTAACGTTCATGTTCATGTTAAGCTGATGATGCTACGTTGATCATGGGATGGGGTGGGGTAGGAAAATGAGGTTCATGTTCATGTTACGCTGATGATGATATGTTGATCATGGCGTGGGGTGGGGTGGGGTGGGATGTTAACTTTCATGTTCATGTTAAGCTGATGATGCTACGTTGATCATGGGGTGGGGTGGGGGGATGTGAGGTGTTCATGGATGATGATATGTTGATCTGGGGTGGGGTTGGGGATGTAACGTTCATGTGACGCTCACGATGTTACGTGGTCGTGGATCATGGGGTGGGGTGGGATGTTAACGTTCATGTGTTACGCTGATGTTACGTTGATCATGGGGTGGGGGTGGTGGATGTCAACGTTCATGTTCATGTTACGTTGATCTGGGGTGGGGTGGGAGGTTAACGATGTTACGTGATGTGGATCATGGGACACGATGTTACGGATCATGGGGTGGGTTGGGGTGGGATGTTAACGTTCATGTCCGCTCACGATGTTACGTTGATCATGGGGTGGGGTGGGGTGGGATGTTAACGTCATGTGACGTCACGATGTGTTGATCATGGGGTGGGGTGGGGTGGGATGTTAACGTTCATGTGACTCTCACGATGTTACGTTGATCATGGGGTGGGGTGGGGTGGGGTGTGGGATGTTAACGTTCGTGTGACGCTCACGATGTTATGTTGATCATAGGGTGGGCTGGGGTGGATGTTGACGTTCATGTGACGCTCACGATGTTATGAGTGGGATGTTAACGTTCAAGTGACGTTGATCAGTGGAACACAGACCATTGATTCAGATTGGAAATCGTTGAAGTGCTGGCTTCACAGGGAATCTTCCAAAAAAGGAGGCACTGGTGACTTGGTGACCAACTCCTCAAAATTGGAGCATAGGGTCTGGCAATAGATGTGGCGCAGAACCGAACTGCGCGGCAAGAATTCAGAGAAACGCGCAGCCACGAGCAATTTGTTCAATGGTTGAAGTATTTTTCAGGACATCCAAAAACAGGCGTGCAACACTGCACAAGCAATTCCATTGGGAAATTCACGCACCCGCCCTTAAAACCAGGCGCCTATCAGCGCTGTTCCCCACTAGTTATATTACCATATATTACATATTACCATCAATCACTAGTTATAGTCACTAGAAATATGTATACATATACATATACATATACATACATACATATATATATGGGGTTATTACCATCTGGTTATTTGTTACATAGCCATGGTATAGATGGCCTAGTCGATTTTTTGTTGATTTACCCAGCTATAAAATGGTGGATCTAAGCCATGGCTATGTAACAAATCAACAGATGGTAGTTCTCCAACGACCAGGCCGAAGGCATCAGCAGCTCCAGCAGCGACGGCGGTGTGACGCTCACCGGCCTGGTGGGCGGCGCGGCCGCGGCGGCGGAGGCCACCGGGGCAAACGTGGCGGAGGTCACCGGAGAAAATGGTGGATTTCAGCAAGAAATTTAGCCTCTGGTAAACTAACATAGGAAAACCATGGGAAAACCATGGGAAAACCATAGGAAAATGGAGGTTTTAACCCTGGTAGGCTGATGGTTATAGTCATTTCATATGGTTTTAACCATCAAAATCTAGGGAAATAAGTGGATATAACTGATAAATGATGATAATACCCTCTGGTAAACGTTTACATAACTATGGAAAGATCCACCCATTTTATAGCTGGGTAAATCAACGGAATTTCTATGGGCCATTTTCAATAGCTATGTAACAAATTACCAGAGGGTATATGGATTTATATGGATTTATATGGATTTATATGGATTTATATATGGATTTTTAGGCGAACTGTGCTAGCTAAGTTGGTTGGCGAAGTTGGTTTCTATAACTGGGAAGAAACCAGTTGACTGGGAAGAAACCAGTTGACTGTTGAAATGGCTGGTTTCGCCAAGAAAAATGGTCATAGAATGGGGAAATTGCAAGCAACAGATGTTCCTTTGGGTGCCCCATACATAGCAAAGTTGGTTTATAAGTTGGAACGTGTTTTTTCCATAAATTCAAAGCATTTTATGACTGGGGTGGGCACCGCGTTGTACCAACCATACAGGTATTCTCAGCACCCCTCCCACGACCCCACTGCCAACATCATCAATAACCGTTATAACCGTATCCTACCAAGGTATGTCGCATTCCTTGAACAAAATTATTCCATTTCAATAGGTAGCCTTCCCTTAAAGACAGCAACGTTTCTTTTAAAGAGTCACTGTTAATCTCAAAGAGGTAGTGATTGTTTGTTTTGTTTAGTACAAACACAAAGTAAGTACACACAACGACTTTTGGCAAGGATAGTCAGAAAGTACAACATTTTTTGAAGGAAACCATAGGAAGCCATATGTTGTAGAATGTTTTTGCATCATTCCTTCCAAAGGAAATAATATGCTTGGCAAAAATAAAGTTAAAAGAAAATGCATGTTTATCTTAAAAAAGAACACATATAGTTAACATGACATCTTTTCCAACAAACACCTTCGTTCAAAGAGTGTAGCATTCCTTGAAAAGAAGTGCATTCATTTTCAATCGCTAGCATTCCTTTAAAGCATGTTTTTTCTTTCAACTCAGCACTTTTCATTTCACAGGCATTTGTTGGATTGTTTGTTTAAACAAACACGTTTATTATCTCTTCGTATTATGTATATTTAAGTATGTTTACTATCATAAAATGAGTGCATACTGACTACTGACTCTACAAAGACTAATCTGGCAGTACTTGTATCGCATGTGCAGCTTTGTCTTTCAAAAAACCAGGATCATTGTTTTAGCCAAATATAGCATCACTTTGGAAACAGGAATTATCATTTCCAAACATGCAACATCATTGGCAAGGCTGTAGTTTTCTGACAAGAGACATCGTGAGCTTTATGGATATAGAGGGGACGACTTTACCGAGGTTCAAGATTCAAGATTCGCAAAACATATTCAACCTAGGGACTTGGAGGTCCCCCATGTGTCAGACATAGTTTCCTTCCATAGTTTTTGGCAAACCAATATGTCTGACACATGACCTCAGGATCTCACAGAGTCCAAACATTGGGGTTAGCATTTTTCTGGGAACTTTTGCCCTTGAACCAGACGGCGGGGTCTTGGGGGTGCTGACAATATATATATGCATAAATACATATGAATATACATATAAATATAAATATATATATATACACGCTATAATATATATATACACTCTATCAATCATATATATATATATATATTATATAAGATATCATATATATATATACATATGTGACAGAATATATATATAACATACTATATATAACCTAGTGTATATATATTGATACAACATATATATATACACATCACACACATATATATATACATAACACACACATATATATATAACACACATATATACAATATATATATATACACATATGATGTTGATGTACATACACATACACATACTTAGATTGATGGACTACATTTTTTCGTTTACACACCACTTACTCCAGGAATCTCGCATTTTTTCAGTTAAATCGCTCAAGAAATGAGGATACATGAACGTAACCCAACTAATAAAAAACTTAGTACTCTTGATATAGATATTCACCCAACCAGACATGTTGAAGGCAGGGTAGCGCCAACGGCTTGGGCATGGGGCGAAACCCGGTGAGGCATCGGCTCCTGTCCCGGTGTCCTTAGATTTGGAGGATGCGCCAACGGCTTCCTGGCGAAGAATAGAGAGATTCCTGAAATTTCCATGGCCACCATGGGGAAAATGGTGATTAACCATGGGAAAAATATGGAAAATGTCCTGAAAATGGTGATTAACCATGAAATTATAGGTCCTAAGGTATCTGAATCCAATTTCAATTGATTTAGATACCTTGAGTAAAACAAATCATGTGAATTTCAAAACCAGATGGCTTTGAAATTGGGCGACCTAGACATGAAGTGTTTGCCATGCGTTGCCGGGGGGGAACGTAAACGCGGTGCGTCGTGTTTTGGGAGGCACGGTGCGACGGTGAGTCCGTAAAGACTCTTCCAAGAAGAAACAGTAATCACAGCAGGAAGAACACCAGGCGACATAGTGTTATTCAATATAATTTTTCGTGAAAATTGCTGCTATATTATTACGGCCAGGCGCCTTGTGTTGCCCGGAGATTTGCAGGGACGTTCCCGGCATGTTGATCATGATTATGATGATGATGATGGTGATGAGTCTAACTGGGGTGGGAGAATTAAACCCTTATTGAAGAATCTTCAATGAATGTAGAAGTTTAACGGGGGTGGGAGAATTAAACCCTTATTGAAGAATCTTCAATGAATGTAGAAGTTTAACGGGGGTGGGAGAATTAAACCCTTATTGAAGAATCTTCAATGAATGTAGAAGTCTAACGGGGTTGGGAGAATTAAACCCTTATTGAAGAATCTTCAATGAATGTAGAAGTTTAACGGGGTTGGGAGAATTAAACCCTTATTGAAGATCTTCAATGAATGTAAGAGTTTAACGGGGTTGGGAGAATTAAACCCTTATTGAAGATCTTCAATGAATGTAAGAGTTTAACGGGGGTGGGAGAATTAAACCCTTATTGAAGATCTTCAATGAATGGACGAGTTTAATGGGGGTGGGAGAATTAAACCCTTATTGAAGATCTTCAATGAATGTAGAAGTTTAACAGGGGTGGGAGAATTTATATGAGATGTATAGTGTGAACAAAAATTCCTTGTAATTTACGCCATTCTGTGCTTGGGCAACACAAGGTGCCTGTGGGTATTATTATTCATGATCATTGCTATTATTATTACTAGCATTATTGTCAGCATTCTAAGATTGTCTTGAAACCCCTTAAATCAGGAACCTCAAAAAATCAGGGGTCCCTGAATGCCACACGCTTCCCACTTCCCTACTAGTTTTTTCTTAAATGAGCCATTCAAAGTATCCCTGTTGATAGGTTATAATAGGGGGTTATACATGGTTATACCACCTGGCTAAAAAAACCTGTGGACAATTATGACCCATAATAGGGATACCTATGCAGAATAACCAGTATAATGGGATGGGACAGGGGCTATTTTTTATGGTTCGGAGTGTTTGCTCGGAAGTCTAGGGGTCGGGGGGTCACAGACCTCCAGCGGCTGGTGGTCGATTGAGATGTTTTTTCAAGTGAACATGATGCTGTTGACTGATCTGAAAAATCATTTCGTTTCGTACCTATACATACCTCATTAATCCTCATAGCCCATATAAGCCCGTATAAATAAATATGTCTACATACATTATTATATATATACATATGAACATATATATATATACATACATATGAATATGTATATATACATATGAATATGTATATAAATATATACACATTATGTGTATACATATGAATATGTATATATAGAATACATATATATATATATATATCTATCAATCCCCGGGCTATATTATCATATTTATATAGATATTTCCATATCGCTGGGCTATCTACCCACGGACAGGCCTGGGTCACCCGGATTTGCCCAGGCTGTGGATTTTCCTCGGACCTTGGAGGTGGATTTAGACATCGAAGCTCGGATGCCAGTGATATAAATAGAGATCCAGACAGATGCCGTATCATGATGGTATAGACATTATTATTTTTTTCTAGATAATATGATAATATATGTATTATATTCCATATATATGATATATCCATCCATTATTATATTCCATATGATACATTATATTCCATATATATGATATATATGATATGTATATATATAACATATGACATATCCATCGAGTTGACCTTTTCGCCTAGGATGGGACCATCGAGTTGGATGATGATCGACCGAAGGTGTCGTGAATTTGTGCGATGGCTGGGCTATGCGATTGAAGGTGGAGGTAGGCTGATTTTCATGAACTTCAATAGATTCTCATACGGTTTTCATGGATTTTTCTTGATAAAACATTGGAGTTTCATGGATTTTTCATGAATGCGGATTCAAGCGATTGACGGATTTGACCATATTTTTAGGCATTGAATGCATCCTAATGAGGATTTCAGTATACAAAGAGAGAGCGTGGGATATCGACCAAGAGCAAATGGGTAGGGGACACAATGATCGCGCTCCAAAAATGGTTGGTTTAATGACAGTATTAGACACGACCAGTTTTATCAATAGATTGATTCAAGGGGACATTCACAGGAAAGAATGGTGTGTACATCCTGTACGTTTTCTTAAACCACTTCTGCAATTTTTGTGTGGTTCCTCTGGTACCCCAATTTTGACACATACCCATTTCGCAGCATCAAGAGCATTCAAGAGCAATTTTTTGGGGAATTGAAGGCACTGTAGACTGTAGATGTACCATACACGGATGGTGGCACGATCCTTTGATGTTTGTTGTTGGGAAATACAATGTCAGGCCAATGACTGGCCAGAAAATCCTCAGGGGGAATCTGACGGTGATGAAGATTATTGTCATCATTCTCGCAGTTTTCATTTTTCTTCTTCGCTTCAAGGTTGTGGGCAACAACCAGACTGTAACCTGCCATATACACGGATACACAAAGTGGTGCAGGAGCTATAAGTTGGTTTATAATTCCCCTGAACTAAAATATAACCCCCATAAATAACCCTCGTGAAATTGGAGTCAAAAACGAACTTAGCTAATTTGCGGCACCACTTTGCACCCCAATTGGATTAATGGGGTCTCAACCGGTGCCCACATCAGCACAGGCCACGACAGCGAAAACACCAGAGGCCAAGGCGGCAGCCAAGGCGGCAGCCAAGGCGGTCGCACCCAAGGAGCGATGTGTCGGAGCGACCGAACTTTTGGGTTGGCTGTTGCTGAAAAATCTTCAGGAAAACATGTTTTTTTTTCCATGTTTTTTTCTCCATGAACCATAAACCCAAACCAGCTGGTTGGCTGGTTGGCTGGTTGCTGGTGGCATCCCTGCTTTTTCTCTGCAGTGTTCTGCAGGTGCCAACCATAATGCAAGTAGCTGGAAGCCCAACAACCCCTATTTTGGATGTCAATCCCGTGAATCTACAAAAGGACCAAGGTGGGTCAGAAACCCAATCCTCTGTGGCTGTATCTTTTACTTCTGTTTCTTACAGCACCATACATTTTTTGGAGTACAGTAACCACTTTGACCAATGCCATTGCTTTGTCCCTAGGCTGCCCCATGGCTGCCCCAAGATCCTGTTCCACATGATTTGATGATCAATTTCGACAAAACCAGAGCTACAGCCACCGTCCATCCATTTTCTAATGGTTGGAAGCTATTCTGATTAGCCATGATATTTTGGGGATGCCATTTTTTAGACACACTCATATGCGCCTCACAAATCAATGTATGCGGGTAGATCGTGAAAATGGGATTATTCATCGGTTATTAACCTATCTAGCTAATCCTAGTCATATAGGGACTACAAACCGACCCACAAACTTGGTTTCACGGATTTATATCCAAATTACGAGGAATCACTACACAGCACTATAAACCCATACTTGGTGATTAAATCATATTAAATCACCATCTAATGAATTACATTGAATTACTTTACTTGATGACTACTGCAAATCATCATTAAAGATGAGCATTTCCCTGCAGGAGTCCAGCTCCATAGCAATCGAGCTCGATGAGGCTGAGGTGTCAAGCTTGTTGGCCACAAAAAATAACTATGGCATGGGTCAGACATGTCGAAATCCTGGTACCCTCATGTTCACTCCAAAATATCTGATAAATGGATTTTCATCCCCCCAAGTGTTGGGGCCCATAGGTTTAAGCCATACTATAATTAGTTTAATGAAAGGCAGTTTTGTTCGCAAACTTCCGAGTTACAGACGAATGTCCATGGTCAGTCTTCACATCATCATGTCAACTACATAGGTAGCAAAGTAGCAACAGCAGTTTGCAAGTGGAAATAGTAGAGCAGAGTAACGGTCCAGCAGCGCGTGAATTTGTGTGTGAAACAATGGAAGTGCGGGAATCACTGCGTTTTTTCAGATATGATGGCTCCAGCGGTTGCCGCGGGAGGGCCTGTGTTTCCCCGGGCTTTGGCCCCGATTTGCAGAAGCTGTCAACAAAATGTGCGCAAGACTGTAGCGAGAGCTGGGTTTGCCGAAAAACATGTCAAAAACACCAACACCGTTGGGCCAGCCCCAGACTTGTGCGCGGGCGATGTAAGGCCCGAAGCGATGTCTATTGATGGTGCGTCCGTATCACGATACGCAGCACAGGAAAGGCTCAGAGATTCTGTGGCGCTCCCGCTACTCGGGGCTGCAGCTGGAGGTTGCTGAATGCATTGTGGCAGCTGTGAGAATGGTAGTTTTGGGCCATGGTGTGAGCAGGTGGAGGTCTATAAACGCAGCGCAATGGCTGAGTGAAGGGAAGAACTGAGTTGCAGAGGCAGAAGCTACAGAGGGGGTGGCTCAGAGAAGAAGTCAGTAGCTGAGAGGGGGAGGTAGCTCAGAGAAGAGGTGGCTGAGAGAAGACTTGGCTTAGAGAGTCCAGTCAGACATGCAGGCATCCTTTAACTCAATCATTCCTTCATGCATCCATTCACTAGTTTTTTAAATCATCCATACATCCATTCATTCACTCATCGACTCATTCACTCCCCCAATCGTCCACCGATTCATTAATTCGCTCTTTAACTCATTCCCCCCACACTCATTCACATTCATCCGTTCGTTTGTTCGTTTGTTCGTTTGTTCGTTCATTCGTTCCTTCGTTCCTTCGTTCCTTCGTTCCTTCCTTCCTTCCTTCCTTCCCTTATTCGTGCAATGGTTCTTTCATGTCATTGATTACATCTGCTTTCATGTCATTTCATTGGCATCTCAGAAACCATTAGCTCCTTCATTGATGCACCTCACACCCTCAATCTTTCATTGCTTGTGCATTTCACAGGCATTCCTACAGGCCCTTGCTGTCTTTTGCTTATTTTAGTCATTGCTCTTTTTGAAACTTCCGCCCCGGCACGGCCGGGCACTATCGGTATTAAATATCTCAAATCCCAACTTGCGCAGCCCATTGATTGACCCATAATTACCCAAATTTGGGGACATGTCTCAAAATTTGGGTGGTGCTGTTTGGCTATTCTTCTAGACCTGGTATCGGTTCGCTGGCAATGTTCAACTCGAGTGATCACAGGATTGAAGCAAGGTGCCAACCATCGTTTTAGTCCCTGCAGGTGAAAAACACTCCGCCCCAGAAAACCACAGAAAAGGCGCGGCATTGGGCGGAAGAGGAGATGGCACTGGCCGTTCAAAGCCTCATGGTTTTGGGGTCATCATCCCATCTTGACGCTGTTTTAAAAGCAAATTGGAATGGGTAATCCTCCATGTGGTAGATCTTTCCATACGAATTATATCGAAATATAGTGATTTAAATATATGAATAAATAATCATATATATATATATATAATCGAAGGAAGTTTAGAAGTCAAACTTCCGACAATATGGACAGATGAAAAGCAGAGTAGGGGAGAGGCAGAGAGAAGAGGAAGATTAGAAGAGAGAAGATGAGAAGAGAAAGAGTCAGAAGAAAGAAGATACAGATGCGCGAAAAGGTAGGAAAGTCGCGAAACACTGTGTTTTTCCAATGATTTGTGGCTCAGGAGGGTCGAAAAGTAGGCTCGCTAAAGCGGCGGGTGCGGAGCCAGCTGGTCACAGGAGCGATGAAAAATTGCACGCCGTTGTGGCGCGAAGCACATTTCCAAGTCAAAAGGTACAAAGCACCTCAGCGTCGGACGACTTTTGGAAGTTGCGATGTCGAAAAAGTGCACGCCGTTGTGGCGCGAAGCACATTTCCAAGTCAAAATGTACAAAACACCCAGCGTTCGGACCACTTTTGGAAGTTGCGATGTCGAAAAAGTGCACGCCGTTGTGGCGCGAAGCACATTTCCAAGTCAAAAGTGTTAAAAAACTGACGGTCTCGGACCACTTTTGGAGGTTCAGATGTCGAAAAAGTGTCGAAAAAGTGCACGCCGTTGTGGCGCGAAGCACATTTCGAAGTCAAAAGTGTAAAAAACTGAGGGTTTTGAGCCTTTTTTGACGTGAAGATGTCGAAAAAGTAGACACTGATTAACTTAACTAACTTGACTAACTTAACTAACTTCACTAACTTAACTACCCTAACTTCGACGACAACAGCAACAGCAACAGCAACAGCAACAACAACAACAACAACCAACAACACCAACCACAACAACAACAACAACACCAACCACAACAACTACAACAACTACAACTACAACAACTACACGACAACTACAACTAGAACTACAACTACTACAACAACAACAGCAACAACAACAACAGCAACAACAACAACAACTACAACTACAACTACACAACAACTACAACTAGAACTACAACTACAACAACTACAGCTACACAACAACAACAACTACTACTACTACTACTAACTACTACTACTACTACTACTACTACTACACACACAACTACAACCACACAACAACTACAGCTACAACTACAACAACAACTACAACTACAACAACTACAACTACAACTACAAAACAACTACATCTACAACTATATGACTGCAACTACACTACACTAATTACATTACACCACAACTACAACTCCACTACGCTACACTACAACTACAGTTGCAGTACATCACACTACATCCAGCAGTTGTGGGTGAGGTGACCACTGCAACCATTGCAACCATTCCAGCAAACACAACTCCAACCACCTTTCGGTCAATCAGTGGATTCGCTCTGCCATCCGTGATTCACAACAACCAACGTCTCCTATAGGTTTCCTATTCTGAAACTTCCGCCACCGCCTTGTGCGGTACTACTGGTAGTAGAATAACATAAATAATTACATAGATACATATATCTGAACACATATATTTACTCCAATAGATTGGAAGGGTACCTCCTCTTCATAGTTTTTTTTTCATGATCTTGTGGGAAATCCAAGAAAACCGGATTAATCCATGCAAGGTGGTGCCCCATAGTAAGCTAATTTGGATATGACATTTTATAAATAACGTAATTGTTGGGTTTATGGTAGATATATCTATACTTAATGAGGTTGTTGGACCAACAAACTTAACTGGGGGGCACGACCTTGTAGGAATCCCCATCTGCATCCCCAGTGTATATCCAATACATTCGGGCAATTGCGGACCCCAAAGATTTTCCGAAATGAAACGCGACACGGTATGGACACTCTTTTTGAGTTCACCCAACACGGTGCGACCTCATGACGCTGGTCATCCCAGGAACTGCGGATGTTTTGGGATGAAATTTGAAGCCCCAAAATCAAATGTCATATCAAGTTGGTTATACATGTTTATATAAGTTATATAAGTTATAGATTTTATATCCCCTTATCCATAAAATAGATCATATTCTGTTATGATTTCCATGAATCTTCCCATAATGTTCGCATAATATCCCATCATTTCCATGTCATCATACTGTGGATGGTTGCGAAATCCTGCACCATTTGGTAGATGTTAAGCATCTTGTTATAATCCCGTTATAGTCCCAGTATTTCATAGGAATCCCACTAATTAGTTATAAACTGGTGCAGGATTTGTTCCTTAAATATCGTTGAATATATAGCACCTAGACTATATTCAAGTATCTTATATAATAGTTGAATATTTCCATAGCATATCCTCATGGTGACATGATCCCGGCATCTTTTTTCAGGTCACCCCGGAGCTGGCAGCGGCCCCGGCCCCAGCAGTGGCCCCGATGGCGAAGGTGGGATGGTGGGCGTTTCCATAGTCATGGTTGGTTTACAGTGGTAAATCCTATTACAACGGATGATTTAGGGGTACATGTACAGTACCCCCATTTCAGGACACCTCCATTTTTGGAGGTTTCCTGACATGTTGGTACCCCAATAGCTGGATGCTTTATTTTATGCAAAATCCCTTTCAAATGGACGATTTGGGGGTACCCCTATTTGAGAAAACACCCAGATGACTAAATAAGTATATTCCATAAGACCTATCCGGTGACGTGGAATCTATCCGGTGGATGTTCACCAATATTCCCATTTGGTCAGTTTTAATATCTATACTCCACTAATGGATGCACATGCATCATCATCCGTCTACTACTCCTTACCGAGTTGGGTAAACATCCAGGTGCTATGCGGCTCACAGCCCGGTATAGCCCAGGTCGCATAGCCCAAGACATAGTTTATTGTCGTATGGTCATCCCCTGCCCATTAATTATACGGAATCGGATGACCAGACCTGATGTGCATTGTTTCGACCAGGGCGTATATATGGGTAGTTATTACTCGGTTACCAACTGGGATGCACATCCAAGTAATTTTTTCAATCCCTCCAAGCCTCCATGTTCTGACTTTAAGGATCTCAATCAGAGAAGTGGGATAAATGTAACCGTAAAAGTTCCATAGAAGAAATATCATAGAAGCATGGCCTTATCGTCGGATCCGTGGATGTGTGCATTCCTAGGAAGACCCCCCTGTGCGTGATGTCCTCATGGTTGTTGGCTCTCAAAGGTCATCAAATCCCAAGCCGCGTTGAATCTTTCCGTAAACAACCTGTCGACAGAGAAGCACCTCCACGTCCATTCTATCCTATTCTATTCTATTCTATTCTATTCTATATGATACTATACTATAGTATATTCTATATGATACTATACTATAGTATATTATACTAAACTATATTTTATTATACTATACTCTACTATGCTATGCTATGCTATCCTGTACTATACTATACTATACTATACTATACCATACTATATACTATATACTATATACTATATACTATATACTATATACTATATACTATATACTATATACTATATACTATATACTATATACTATATACTATACTATACTAAACTTTTCTATCTGTCTGTCTGTCTGTCTGTCCGCCTGTCTGTCCATCCGTCCATTCATCCATCTATCTTATTATATTATTACCTTATTGTCTAGAATCTATCTCTCTCTCTCTCTATATGTATATATATATCTACCTATATCTGCCTATATCTATCTATATCTATCTTTATCTAGCTGTCCATCCATCTATCCATCTATCTTATTTATCTAATCCTATCTATCTAATACTATCTATATATATCTAATCCTATCTATCTAATCCTGTCCTGTCCTGTCCTATATCCTATCCTATCCTATCTAGTCTAAGTCTAAGTCTATATCTATATGAATCTAAGTGTAAATCTAAATCTAATCTATCTATCTATTTTCGATCCACCTATCCATATATGCATATTATATACTGTTACACGTACTTGTCATGATCACCTTATCTGATCTTATCTTATCCCATCTCTTTCTGCAATCAAATATGCATTCTAAACTTTTGATGTCATCTTAGATGGTATTTTCTTGATTTCTATTGTTGTTCTTAGGAACAACTGGCATCATCACTACCATTGGATCACCGTTCTGGCCAGGCACATGGAGCGGTTCCGCTTCAAAATGGACACGTGGAGGACGGCGATGTCCCACCCCGGCGATGGAAAACAGATGGGGCGCGCTGGACATGGGGAAAATGATGGAAGTTGAGGGAAGATGAGGGATTTATATCAGTTTTTTCTGACTTTGACTGGAGTGATGATTCTAATATCAGGAATCATTATAATATATTAAACTATATTAAACTGATAGATGTGATATTATATACATCAACAAACGACTATTGAATTATGGTATTCACGACTTGTTTGCCTACAGTTATGTTTATGATTTTGATGAAAAATATGATGACTGCGAAGACAATTCTCATTACGTACTATTTGTTATCATGTTTATTTATTTTGCTTAGCATTGTTTATTTGATTGTGTTTGTTGTCATGTTTCTTTCTTTATTTTCCATTCTTATTTTGTCTTGTGATGACCGATTAAATTGCATAATATGTTTTAATAAGGCAAACCATTCTTGCGAGTCTCTACGTTTTAGCTATGATTATTTCAACTTAATATCATATATGTTTATTTTAAATCAGTTGGAATTTGCAGCTATCTAACCTGGGAATTTCATGCCTTGAAAAACAATCACATATATTGTGGATATTTAGGGTGAATGTACATTTTGAAGATTCAAATCCAATCGGTTTGAACAATTTGGGGTTGAATATGGAATTCAGGCACTGGAGAGACGTCCAAGCTGGGCTCACAATGCCCACATTTTCGTGGTAAGCTGCATCACCATGCAGCCAATGCAGTGACTTCCCTTTCTTTTGTTGCTTGATCCACCCCAAACCCATCCAATCCCATCCAATCCCAGCATTTTAGCATTGTAAACATTCCGAAAGCATTTTATTTTTTGTGCTATCCCATCCCATCTATTTCGAATTTTAGATATCAAGAGATTCCAGTGCGTCAAACTATGGTTTGATATATTATATATATAGTTTAAGTACACGCACTTCTTTATTTACTTCGATCTATTTCCCCACTATCGGGTCTCCGGGTCTCCAGATTTGATGTCAGCTTTGTTCTCCTCCTCCTTGCGGTGCGCAGAAACTGCCGGGCCTGAATACTATGCTGCCGGATAACATGTCAGATGGAATGTCAAAGAAAATGGAAAGAACAAAAAGAACTGGTTGGTAGTGACCGGAACCATGGAATTTTATGACTTTCCATATCTTGGGAATAGTCGGTGAACAACTGACGAAGTCATATTTTTCAGAGGGGTTCAAACCACCAATCAGAGAACATGAAATAAACTGTCTGAATATATGTGTCAGATAGTATATCACATAAGAATGTCAGAATATATGTCAGATAGAATGCCCAATTACAATGTCAGATAGATTGTCAGAATGTATATCAGATAGACTGTCAGATAGAAGGCCAAATAAAATGTCAGCTAGAATGTCATAATATTTTCGGATAGAATGCCAGAAAGTATGCCGGATACAACGCGAGATAAAATGACAGACAGAATGTCAGTGACAACGTCAGATAGATAGAGAAGAATACATGTCTGGTAGAATGCTGGATAAGATGTCCGATAGAATGTCAGAATACATGTCTGACGGAATGTCAGATAAATTGTCGCATAGAATGTCAGGATACATGTCAAAATACTGTGTCTGTCAAATAGAATTAATGTCAGACAGACTGTCAGAATGTATATCAAATAGACCGTCAGATAGAAGGCCACATAGGATGTCAGCTAGAATGCCAGAAAGACTGTCAAACAGAATGCCGGAGTATATGTCGGATAGAAAGCCAGATAAAATGTCCGAGAAACGTAAGTGAAAATATCAGATAGATGATAGATAGAATATATGTTGGGATAGGATGCAAGATAAGATGTGAGATAGAAAGTCAATGTTGGAAAAATGTAAGATAGAATGCCCGACGGAAAGTCACATAGAACTAGATGTTTCAATATATGGCAGATAGAACATCAGAATATATGTCGGATAAAATGTTATACTGTATTATTGAATGTTAGTTGGTGGGGATCACCCAATTCCGTTCTTTTTTCAATGTCAGCTATCCCGTCTCCCACCACATCCAACCCAGCAATTGACATGTTTTCGCCATCCCATTCGCGATGTTTTTTTGAACATCCTGATCGTCCTGATCCCAGTATTTCCTCTATTTCAATGTATTTCAGAAATTTTAAGTGCCTTAAACCATGTATTTCAGATATTTTAAGTGCCTTAAACCAATTTTTTTCCCAATTTGTTCTATTTTTTTCCATTTCAGCCGTTCCGTTCACACTCTTCGTTTCCATGTCAACCATCCCAATCCCTCTGAACAATGTTTCATTATCCCAAATCCAATAAATTTTGGTGTATTTTGTCCATGTCAGCAATTCACAGCATTTTGTGTATTTCTATCCGTCCCAGGACATTGACTTGGAAGTCGATCTCTCCTGTCAAGTCCAGGTGGGAAAAAATCCACCTTTTCGAGGTGAAAAATGATGGTCGCAAGTCCTCTGGACCGCAAAAACGTCCCCAAACGACAGGTAAGTTGGCTTAAAACCAAGCTAACGATTGGATAAACATGGCGGAGATACTGTCTATAGTGATAAACCAACTTATAGCTGGGTCGCTTCTGCTTCCCTTTTTGAGCATCCAATGTTGGGATCCCCAGTGACCTAAACACCAATATCGGCGTCGTGAAAATGGTGGACGCGCCCTAGAAATAGATGTTGTTTTAGAGAAAATATTTTTGGAAGACCAAAACTCTATATTGGTTTAAATGTTCTATATTTTTGGATATTGCTTTTAGATTTTTGGAAGACCTACACGCAAACCAAATCCAAAACCAATATCCATGGCAAAAATTGATCTGAAATTCGTCTATTTCGCCCTAGAATCTACAACGGAATGCCCCGAAAAACAGCTGAAACCCTTTGCCCAGATTTCCAACACACTTAAAGCGCTCAATCTGTTCAAATCCATCCTTACTTTAACTTGAAAGGCAACATTTTGGCGCATCCGTTCAAATCTGCACCTGTTCAACCCCGGAAATGAGGTCAAATGAGTCTAGTCTCAACATGAGCACGCAACCTGTTCGGGATTGCAACCCAACGTTGCTTCACAACTATCCGTTCTGCAATCTTGCAGAAATATAATCTGGTCTTGCTCAGGCCATTCCCGTCATTTTTGGGTCGAGCCGGTACATTTACAAGTGTATTTACGCACAAATCTGTGATGACACAGGTTTTAGTGCAACTCGGATTTATGGCCAGACGCTTCACAAAAGGGTCATCGTACCCTCCGGCAAACATGGCGAGCTGGAAAATCCCTACATAGTTTGATGGCTGGTTCAGCTACACTGGGACGTCAGATGGCCACTCTGAAAACGTTTTGGCTTTGAAAACGCAGGAAGAACTTGTAGTAACCTCAAGGTTATGCATAGGAAAACAAACCGAATAGTCAGAACATTGTATATGGACTCTCGTGTTAGAAGTAGCAGTCAATAGGACAATCCTGAAGAGCAGTGACAAGATGCATGAAACAAGAATGGCGCAATACTTATCTTATACCCTCAGCGAAAGCAATAAACGATGGGGGACTTCCACACGTTGGGAACCCGCCGCAACGTCTCTCCTTGAAAAGTCCGCCGCCTTCTCGACCCCCAAATCCATTTGCTCATCATTCTCCCCATGCGTATAGTTCCGGGATTTTTCAGCCACATTTGATGACACCAGAGGGTGAAGCAACATGAAATCCACTAATTATCCACTCATTATCCACTCATTATCCACTAATTATCCACTAATTATCCACTAATTATCCACTAATTATCCATTTCCCCAATAAAATCTGTTTTTTCACTTGGATATTGTTCCCCCAACATGGCACACCTACGGTGTTGCACGGTGGCACGGGAACGGAATCGCACTTCGAGGACGCTACAAGTAGCTCCACAAAGGTGAAGCCGGCGGAGAAGAGGAAGGTGCAGGGAAGCATTTTGATTCACGATCCCCATAGAGTAAGATTGGTAACATCTATTATTAATACATATTAATACTATTATCTTAAGGTAAAGTAGTTTTTCGTTTTGCATCTTCATAGAATCTTAGCAATTTAACCAATCATTAGATACTATTGTGTTGGTCAATGATTGGTTAACGGTTAAATAAAATATCCATAGTATCTAATGTTTCCTTATTAGTTACTCAATGATCTCCATATCATCCATTATGGTCTTACGTGGGACAACGGTAATAAACCATTGGATTTTGAGGTACCTTATTTTCAGACAAGGCCATATTTTGTTTGCAAAATATTCATAATATCCCTCATCTATGGATTGAATATCCCAAGCATTGTTCGACATGAATCATCCCAGATGATATATATATATATTATACTTATAGAGCACCTTTTGCATCCTGAGCTGAATTTCAAGAATTTCACCTGGCAGAGCCCTTAGATTGAAGATTTTGTAGTTGCCGGAGCATATCATGATGTCCCAGCTTATATATATATGACTCCATATATCTTAAGCACATCATTTGGATGATACAATGGTGATATACGGAATATATGGCACATCTACTGAAAATATATGGAATAATCCTTGGACATAGATTGGGAATATAGATCTATCATGATCTATCATGATCTATCAATAGATGGAACGTATGGAGAATATCATGGGATAATCCTTCTACAAACTTTCTTTGTAAAGGCAGATATTAAGATTGTGTATACCACCAAACAAAATATTTTTTGTGCTGTAGAGAAAATGATGAATGACCAGCGTATCTTTGGGGCACCCTATCTTCAGTCAAACCCATATCCCTACATCGGCACCTGAGAGTCTTCATCAATGATCTTCATGGGGGTATAACATTTATACCAACCATTCAATGGAAGATATAAAGGGCAATATTGCACAATATTGGGCATATATCGATTGGTGATGGTTGGTGGTTTCAATGGTTGGCTTGATTTAGTTTTGGGATGATCAATGATGATCAACCCCCTATGTCGGAGTCAGTCACCCCGTACATAGTCACTAGTTACTAGTTCTTTCAGGGGGTTGCAACAACCCACCAGTCTACATATTTTTTTTGAACGGTTCTGGGGTTATAATAGGATATAATGGGATATAATGGGATATAATGGGATATATAGCCAATATGAGATTGCCCAACATCGTGTATACACCAAAGTTATGGCAATAAACTAGATTTAGGGGTACCGTATTTTCAGACAGACCCATATTTTGGCCGGCAAAAAACAGATAGACACGTGATTTGCCACTAATTTCGATTCGTAGGTTACTTTAAAAAAATCCTTTTGGGGGTTGTTATTTTTTGAAAAAGACATGTATGTTTTCATTGCGAGTGTTTTCCCCAGTGTTACTTCATGATTCCATCATTGGCCATTGCCACTTGCTGGTATGTCAACCAATGATTCCCATTCCAAACCAGCACTGCTTTGTCGAATCCGCCATAAACCGGGTATAGCATCTATATCACACAACAGGTTATGGCTCAATGTGGCTCAATGTGGCCCATAATGACCACAACAACCCACAGGCTAGTATATTATTCTGGTTAAATATTATTGGATCAGGGTAGTGCATTCTGGTTAAATATTTTTGGATCAGGGTAGTATATCTGGTTGGTGGTTTGGAACATGGCTTTTATGAGTTTCCATGTATTGGGAATGTCATCATCCCAACTGACTTTCACTCCATCATTTTTCAGAGGGGTAGGTTGAAACCACCAACCAGATATGATTGACGTAATTTTGATTGGATTGACCATCATAATAGACCCCTTTTTATGACCAATCAACGATGGCTATTTTGATGGCTCAGCTCAGCTCTGCCCAGCCAGGCCGATAACGCCGTGGTGGATCTGGATGACGCTCCGACTGCCAAGCAACGCCGCTTTTCCGCAGCTCCTGGTGGGCAAAAGGTGGAGAGATAGGTCAAGTTGTCATAACATGATCAAGAAAAGTTGTATAATGTTGTAAAGTTGGCATCTTATTGAATTATTGGATAAACTTTAAAAAGTTATAAAGTTGGCATGATTCGATAATCTCGGTGCCCTTCTTCAGACAAACCCTATCAAATCTATTTGCCAGGTCCCCAAGAGTGGTCTTCTACCAGACCATTCAAGTGATTCTAGTGGGTTGAGCAATCAGCAGCATTGTAACAATTTGACAAGCAATCTTTCTGGTTTGTTTTTCCCACACGCAAAAAGATCAATTCTGCTGAACAAAAATTGCAAAAAAAAGAACATTTTCTATCTTTTTGGGGGGTTACTAACAGTTGCTATATGCCATCAAAACCTCCAACTTTTTGGTTCCCTTCAGGTCGGGAGGCCCGCAAAGCTCGGGCCGCGGCAGCCGCTGGCAACGGCAGCGGGCCGCCGGCGCCGGCGGCGCCAGCGCCAACAGCGTCGAAGGTGGTGATGTGTGGCGCGGTTGCAGCGTTTGTTGGTTCGGGGTGTCTCGAAATGGTTGCTTCAACCAACAAAGAAACAGGATATTGGAAGGGAATATATACATATATAACGGGATAGAACGGGAGAATGGATGATAATGGATGATAATGGATGATAATGGATGATAATGGGTGATAATGGATGATAATGGATGATAATGGATGATAATGGATGATAATGGATGAATAATGGATGATAATGGATGATAATGGATGATAATGGATGATAATGGTACAAATCTGCATGATATCAACTTGAGATTATATTTGGATGTGTCTGAAAAGCCCACATTGCGATCCATCGGGCAACATCGTGATTAATCAATGGATTCATGGGTATGGCTGAGATGATCATACGAAATATGTTACATCGTGATGAAGAAATGAATAACTGATGATTGCTTTGCTGAAGTTGTACCGCTCGAAAGCTATCGGTCATTGTGGATGATCAAAGCTTCCCTTCAGCGAAGCACGGTGTATGGTTTTCACCTTGGTCTTAAGATTCTCAAGGCTGAACTAAGTTTCATGACGGATTCCATGGAAAACAGGACACCTTGAAAGCTAAGGTGACGTTGATTTGGACGGTCCTGGAGCAGCGTCTTGGAACACAACATGGCTATTTAATGCTATTTATATCAGGGGTTTGGCAACAATTCAAGTTCATAAGCCATGAAAAGGAAAAGATTCCAAACCCAATGGTCCCAATGGTATACAGGCTTTGGATCCGCGACACGCATCATCATCATCATCATCACCACCACCACCACCACCATCATCATCATCATCATCATCACTTATCCGCATTACCATTTCAAGCATTCAGTTGAATCCCTGAGCCCTGCTGGCCCTGCTTCGCTCGGGCCGTCATTGATTCTGTATACGCAGCATCTACCGTAGAATGATGTCCAAGTCTCTCCCTCTGCGCCAAAAATATCTATCCTGGTTGGTGGTGACTGGAACCATGGAATTTTATGTTTCCATATATTGGGAATGTCATCATCCCAACTGACGAACTCATATTTTTCAGAGGGGTAGGTTGAAACCACCAACCAGTATATGATTGAGTATTTTTTTGATTAAACATCTGGTAATATAATAAACCATCATAAAAAATTACCATCTGGTAATACCACTCTTCATTTTTAACCATCATAGACCATATCTATCCAAATTCTGCCCATCCGAGACTATTGAAATTTCCCTCGGCTTTCCCAGGCATCCATCGACATCGATGATTGATGAGGTGAATTGACCCATGGATCGGTGGTTTTTTCGCATTCCCAGGTGGTGATGGATGATGAAATGGTGTTTCAACCGCAAAAAGCTCCTGATATACCACGAGGATATTTTTAAAATCATGGGATAGATCAAATTGATATAATTATATATATTGCTTAACCACCAGGGCCCGAGGGGAACTTCCCGGTTTTTCCACCGATCACCTTCTGGACCGTTTTTTTCGTATGCAGTAGTGGCCAAGTATATATACTCAGTATATCAATGCATATTGTCTATGGTACGTTTCCGGGAAACCCACATATTATGGGTATAACATTGTCAACCCCTTGATATATTGAATATAATCCCAAGTATTTATCTAAATATATGTATATATATATATACTCATGTATATACTCATGTATATTATTCCCACGGTAATCAACCCCTTGATCCACCGCAGCTCCAGGGCGCTGCTGCGAAGAGCGCGGCGGTGAAAAAATGAGATCGCCCTGGAGGAAAAGTGGAGGAAACGCGACATGTCCAGCGACTCACATTCTGATACTCAACTGACCCTCAGGATGGCACCCCCAAGATAGCCAAGTTGCCTTATAAGTGGCTTAACTATGGTGTATGGTAGATATATATATATATATATATAACTATAGTCAATGGAGTCATAATGGTTTATAAACCAACTTATATCTGGGGGGGCCCATCCTGTAGCAATTTAAATGGGGCATCTCAATGATTGGGTTAAACCTTGGATATCCAAGGCAGATATCTTGAATGGATAGTCTAGTCAATCATCAATAAAGCCAGCTGTTACCCTCTAGTTATTTCATATATCTATGGTATAGATGGCCCATTTATAGATGATACACATGATGATTTACCAATTAAACATGGTGATTTTCCACTTCGCTGGGTTAAATTTTTGCAGAGTGTATTTGAGAGAAGAAATGCGTGCATCAGAATGTTCAGACAAGACCATGAAGGAATATGGGTTGGTGGGAAAACAACAGATGCTTCTTGGACTTCCTGGGGTGATCCCTCAACTTCAGAATCCATGCTTCGTAAGTGGAAGTTTCCCTATTGCTTTTTATACAAGTACCCCTGAAAAAGATAGACAAATAAAGACTGACTGAATAAATTGTCAATTCAATTTTCTTTCTCTTTTGGGTCTACTACATCTCAAATCAGTAAAGTTCCACTTGAAAATCTCACGGGTACCACGTCCGCGATCCACATTGGTACCACGGTTGTAGCAGTGAAGGCACTGCATATTCACAAGAAATGATGGGGTTGTTAGGCTCAAGGGCTGAAAGACAAGCAACAGCCTGAATTTTCTGAAGATGTTTTTATTTTTAAGCGATGGGAAATCCAATACCTGGGGAATCTCTAGGGAATATGATGTTCTTTATTTTTTTTTTGGGAGATCCTTAAGCAATTCCAAGACAAACCGCTGGTTGGTGTTGGGGTGAAACCAATTTTTCGAAATGGAGAAGTGGAGAAACCAATTGAGAAATGGACTGTCGTGGACTATGAAAGATTGCAACGTTGTCGCAGCCACTGACGTTGTCGCACGCCTGGATGTGCGCCTTAGCACGTGTCTGGGAGTCCTGGAAGGGATGGCCGAGAGCCGCTATTAGGGACCTAGAAATTTGCAGAGTTCCCACAGTTCCCACAGTGAAAAATATCAGAACTTCAATGAACTTCATTTTTTGCTCCCCAAAAATCACGTTCAGAACTTGAGAACGATGTTTTTTTGGGCAAGAATCTGTTTTTAGCCAAGTCGATGGATTTTTCTATCACCCATCATATTTCCTATCATCCATCTATCATCCATCATCCATCTTGGGTCTCTTGAAAAATCCCACCAGATGGCCATGGCCGTTTCCCGAGTTTAAACGCTGAGCCAGGGACTCTGGTGACCAATTTGCTGAATGATTCTTAAGTATTCAAAGAGTAATTTCAATGAGTGTTTGTGGATCATTGTTCCGTGTTTGAAAAGAGTGATTTTCAAAGCGTGTTGTTTACTGTATTCAAAAAGTGAACAGATATACAGTGGTGAGAACGTAGTTGCAATATATCAGTTTTGAAAGTGTCTTCCACACTTTTTGAAGGAAAATGGAAGGAATTCATCTGATCAAACCCATGTTTCCACTTTTTTTCATGTGTGTGTTTGTGTGTTTCCCCAAATGCTTGCTCCTAAAACCATTGGTTAAACCATTGGTGTCCCCAATAAACATGAGCAATTTGAGGTGATTTTGGGGTTATGGCAGTGACCAACCCGAGGCAACTGTGCTGCAACACATCCAGGAGAAAGCTCTGTCGGCCGCCTCCCAACCCGTCCGGGGTCCGAAGCTGGGAATGCTCCAAGGGTCAGATGTGAGGGGACAAAACCCTCGGGATTGATATGTGAATATTGTAAATGGGAATATAACATGATATAGCCTGCATTTTCCGGATTTTTATATATTCCCAAGTTTTTGGGAGACCTTCGTTCAATTCACCACTCGGGATCCATGCTTGTTCTTGCGCCCCAAGAGAATGCAACGAAACACACATTTCATGTCTATTCATCATGTTTATACAACTATACAAATATTTTTATGGTTATATGGTCATCATAATATTAATCATAATTGCATAGTTATATGACATATACAACTATATCAATATTAACGATATATGGACCATATAATATGGTTATATAAATATATGCTATGGGAAACCATCGCCATTTATCGATCAGAGATGACGAGTTTCGCAGTTTCGCCAGGCCTTGCTTTGGCCGGGGAGACCTGGTCTGACGGAGGATCCCAGGAATGGATCTGGTTACTGGTTCCAACGGTTACTTCAAATGATATGACTGATACGTTTTATGATACGTTATTTAGATCATAGGAAAACCATAGGAAAATGGTGGTTTTAACCCTGGTTGGTTGATGATTATAGTCATTTCATAGGGTTTTAAGGATCAAAATGTAGGGATTAAATAAGTGGTTATATAACTGATAACTGATAAATGATGATGATACCCTGCGGTAAACGTTTACAAAAAACGAACTGGACAGATCCACCATTTTATAGCTGGGAAAATCCACGATTTCGACTGGGTCATTTTCAATAGCTGTTTGTATGTTTACCAGAGGGTACTGACCTAGTCACTGTGCGATGGGTCAAACTGGGTTGGTAACCCTCCAACTAGTTACATCCCTTTTGTGCAGATTGCCGAGAGTGTCCGGCGAGGCTTGTGAAATGTGAAGATGGATGGCAAAAGGAGTCATGGACCTACAAGGACTTCATGTTGCCCTGAGATCTAGATTGATTTCCCAGATTGGCATGCTGCAATAGATCTTGAATTCAAAATCAAACCTTTGTTTTTTTTCAGTGTTGTGGTTTTCCCACAACACCTAACCTGTAATGTGAATTTTAACGTTTAACAAAGGTCCTAAGCAGAGTGAAGCAGTTTGACTCCCAGGTCTTGGTTCTTCACTGGTTTCTTGGTGCGTGAAAACGATTCAAAGCTATACTGGAACCATCCAAATATATAGGGCTAGTTTAATACTGATCATACCTCAAATTATGCACATATATACACACTGTATGTGTATAGATGTATATAACACTTTATGTGTATATTTATATTACATTACATAGACACACACACATATATATATATATTATATACTCATTATAGATATCAGGAGTGACACATTAAAAACGGATCAAGAGCGCCCCTTTTATGTTTTGATTGGACCTGAGTGGGGGGTGGAATTCTCCCAGTGCTTCCATTGGACAGTTCCAGTGCAAACGAGTGGGAAGTGTTTATTAATGTTCATTTATATAACATCATCAAACATTCATTCAACATTCATTCAACATTCGTTAATCGTTCATTAACCATTCGTCAAACATTCATCAAACATTCATCAACCACCATGGAACACCATTCATCATCAACACCATTCACCATTAAACATACCACTGCAGCATATCAAACATTCATAAAAATCCAGTTTTCATCGTGGCAGGAGGTGTGGCAGGCCGCCATCTCTTGCGCAGAAAAGCTTAAGGCACTGCCTGAAACGTCGCAAGGATGCGGGGAGTCCCCAGAGGGCGGTGAAATGCTGGATTTCACCGAAAAAAAACATGTGCCATCCGGAAATTTCACATAGCTATAGAAAATGGCCTATGTATGTGTATATATATATGTATATAATACGTGATTTACCTATTAGCAATGGTGAATTTCCATAGTTATGTGAAATTGCCAGAGAGTATGAAACAAGTTGGATTTTGACCTGCGAAAATGGGAGATTTTGAGATTTTCTTCCGCTTTGGATCGAGATTTTTCATGAGGAAAAGATACAGATTTTGCCCTGAAACATGTTCAAAATTCGGAGAATGTACCTATTGAATATGAGGACAATGGGACAATGGGTGTCTATCCTATATATCAATTGGTTGGGTGATTTTGACTACGTGTTTCCCTTCAGCCATTCAGATGAAAATCAACATCCACATCCATCATTGAAAGCACATACAGTAATATCAGTAAAGGATATTCGTAACCATCACAGCGTTCATGGAACCACACATTTTTTGGTTGGTGGTTTGGAACATTTTTTATTTTTCCATAACATATGGGATAATCCTTCCCATTGACTTTCATATTTTTCAAGATGGTTAAAACCACCATCCAGTTTTTCGATGGTTTTTGTTATTTTGAGTGGCAAGTATCAGATTCTTAGGGTAAGCAGCCGGTGAATTTTGTGAACATCAATGGGACTTAGGGTAAGCAAGGTGGGAGAAAACAAGAAGATCATGGTTTAATCAACAACAATCTGGCAATTAGTAGCTGAAACAACAAACAAACGGAGTTGCAAGTTGCAAGGCAAAATAACGTTTTTTTTTTCAAACCGGCAACAGGACTTCATCATCGAAAATGGGGAAGCTTGGGATATGCCGTGATGGCTCACTCATTTTTCACACATCTGTAGGTGCTGCAATACCATTCGGCGATCTGCTAATGCCAAGCATGACACTTGCATCGTCATGTTTTTGGGCACACAGCGGTCACAAGCTCACAACAATTTCATTCGTTTGTTAAATTCCGAATTCTTAGACCTCACAACACGCATTCATCATAATTCATCTATCAAATCCCAATTCTTGTTGCTTAGAAATTCTCCAAGTATCCGTTTGTCCAACTGAGTGATTTAAAAACCTGGTTTTTGGCCCGGCAAACTCCAAGGTCATGTGGCGATTTGCATCGACGAGGGGCCGGCACTTCCTTTGGTGGAACTGGGAGTCCCTTGGCGGTACCAAAGAATCGGGGTGTGAAACATGAAACATGTGGATTGAACATTTTTTCAGAATTTCCATTTAATATAGCTACAGTATGATACAGACAGTATGATACAGTAGTATTATTACGTACAGTATTTCTGAAGAAACAAGGATCTAGAGGTGGTCAAAATGTCTAAGATAGCACCGGTGATTCACAACATTGGATGACGTAGTGGCGAAGCATCTCCAGTTATGAGGACAGGCATTTTCTTCCCGGAAACATGGAAACCCTTGGGTGGCACATTGAATTATCGAAATCAATGAAAATGATACCCATTGAACGTTGGCTTCATGGGTGTCAAGCTCCGTGGGTCGTGGCTTGGCTGTGGACGAAAAGACGCAGGATTGATGAAAAGTGCAATGAAACTTGTATATATATATACATACTATATACAGAATATATATATATATACAATGAGGGGAGCCAGATTCCGGACCCAAAAATGGGACCGCAATTCAAGATTTAGAAGCCCGGCCTCCAAATTCTTGGCAGCTTTTTTGGGCCCATGGTCTGGGCGCAAGCCTGTCCGTAAAAATTAAAGTGCGCGCTGGACGGCGGCAATTGACGCTAATTATTCAATGCTTTTTGGCGCTTGGTTGCGAAGATGCTGGCTTCACAGTATATATATATATAGATGATGTTTTTTCTTCAATCCATTTTCAATCCATGATAATATGTTGTGCACATTTGTACAGCCTCTGAGTTGTGACCTCTCCGTAGAAGCAGAATTTCTTGCCCAAGTTCTGAGTGGGATAGTTAGGTCTTTTCTTGGAGGGCCAATGTGTTCTGTGTACTCTGCAGTGTCAGGTGAGGCATTGGCAGTTGTAGATGGCTACGAATGCAAAACTGCCAAGGAAGTGAAACACTCTTTGGCAGCTCAGGTTGGTGTCTCAAGATTTCGGCAGAGGTTTTGGTCTGAAGATTGGTCTCACGAAATTTTGGAAGATGAGGTGCTTTCCTCAGATTCAGTGAAGGTGCAGCTGGTGGTGTTGGATTTTTTGCCGCCGGAAGCTGAAGAAGATCGAAGGATGATCGCTGCCTCCAGGGACAATGACCTTCCTGCACTTGAAGCGTTGCTGCGGCGCCCACGAACTCCGTGTGTGATCGATGATAATGGCAGAACGCCGTTGCATCATGCAGCTGAGAATGGACTCGTGGAACCCATGCGGCTCTTGCTTGCAGCTGGGGCGGCAAGAGATGCCCAAGACACGGCACCTGAATGTTGGACACCATTGCTTTTGGCAGCTATGGGTGGCCATGTGGAACTTGTAGGCTTGCTGATTGAGGCTGGAGTGGACTATGACAAAGCCACAGCTGACGATGGAACAACACCTTTGTACATCGCAGCTCAGAACGGCCATGTGGAACTTGTAGGCTTGCTGATTGAGGCTGGAGTGGACTATGACAAAGCCACAGCTGACGATGGAACAACACCTTTGTACATCGCAGCTCAGAACGGCCATGTGGAACTTGTAGGCTTGCTGATTGAGGCTGGAGTGGACTATGACAAAGCCACAGCTGACGATGGAACAACACCTTTGTACATCGCAGCTCAGAACGGCCATGTGGAACTTGTAGGCTTGCTGATTGAGGCTGGAGTGGACTATGACAAAGCCACAGCTGACGATGGAACAACACCTTTGTACATTGCAGCTCAGAACGGCCATGCTTGAGGCTGGAGTGGACTATGACAAAGCCACAGCTGACGATGGAACAACACCTTTGTACATCGCAGCTCAGAACGGCCATGTGGAACTTGTAGGCTTGCTGATTGGGGCTGGAGTGGACTATGACAAAGCCACAGCTGACGATGGAACAACACCTTTGTACATCGCAGCTCAGAACGGCCATGTGGAACTTGTAGGCTTGCTGATTGAGGCTGGAGTGGACTATGACAAACAGCTGACATGGAACAGCTCAGAACGATGTGGAACAAGGCACTATGACTTTGTACATCGCACATCAGAACAGAACTGTGGAACTGTACATCGCAGCTCAGAACGGCCATGTGTTGTAGGCTTGCTGATTGAGGCTGGAGTGGACTATGACAAAGCCACAGACTGGAACGCAGCTCAGAACGGCCAACAACTGGACCAAAGCCACAGCTGACGATTGTACATCGCAGCTCAGAACGGCCATGTGGAACTTGTAGGCTTGCTGATTGAGGCTGGAGTGGACTATGACAAAGCCACAGCTGACGATGGAACAACACCTTTATACATCGCAGCTCAGAACGGCCATGTGGAACTTGTAGGCTTGCTGATTGAGGCTGGAGTGGACTATGACAAAGCCACAGCTGACGATGGAACAACGCCTTGGTACATCGCAGCTCAGAACGGCCATGTGGAACTTGTAGGCTTGCTGATTGAGGCTGGAGTGGACTATGACAAAGCCACAGCTGACGATGGAACAACACCTTTGTACATCGCAGCTCAGAACGGCCATGTGGAACTTGTAGGCTTGCTGATTGAGGCTGGAGTGGACTATGACAAAGCCACAGCTGACGATGGAACAACACCTTTGTACATCGCAGCTCAGAACGGCCATGTGGAAGTTGCACGCTTGCTGATTGAGGCTGGAGTGGACTATGACAAAGCCACAGCTGACGATGGAACAACACCTTTGTACATCGCAGCTCAGAACGGCCATGTGGAACTTGTAGGCTTGCTGATTGAGGCTGGAGTGGACGCTGACATGGAACAACACCTTTGTACATCGCAGCTCAGAACGGCCATGTGGAAGTTGCACGCTTGCTGATTGAGGCTGGAGTGGACTATGACAAAGCCACAGCTGACGATGGAACAACAGCTTTGTACATCGCCGCTCAGAACGGCCATGTGGAAGTTGTGCGCTTGCTGATCGATGCTGGAGTGGACTGTGACAAAGCCACAGCTGACAATGGAGCAACACCTTTGTACATTGCAGCTCAGAATGGCCATGTGGAAGTTGTGCGCTTGCTGATTGAGGCTGGAGTGGGCTACGACAAAGCCAGAACTGACAATGGAGCAACACCTTTGTCCATTGCAGCTCAGAATGGCCATGTGCAAGTTGTGCGCTTGCTGATTGATGCTGGAGTGGACTACGACAAAGCCAGGACTGACAATGGAGCAACACCTTTGTCCATTGCAGCTCAGAATGGCCATGTGCAAGTTGTGCGCTTGCTGATTGATGCTGGAGTGGACTACGACAAAGCCAGGACTGACAATGGAGCAACACCTTTGTCCATTGCAGCTCAGAATGGCCATGTGCAAGTTGTGCGCTTGCTGATTGATGCTGGAGTGGACTACGACAAAGCCAGGACTGACAATGGAGCAACACCTTTGTCCATTGCAGCTCAGAATGGCCATGTGCAAGTTGTGCGCTTGCTGATTGATGCTGGAGTGGACTACGACAAAGCCAGGACTGACAATGGAGCAACACCTTTGTCCATTGCAGCTCAGAATGGCCATGTGCAAGTTGTGCGCTTGCTGATTGATGCTGGAGTGGACTACGACAAAGCCAGGACTGACAATGGAGTAACACCTTTGTCCATTGCAGCTCAGATTGGCCATGTGGAAGTTGTGCGCTTGCTTGCTGACGGAGACTGGTGAATGACAGGGCCCGAGCAGTGACGCGACATGGCATTTTGGTACTTTAGCGGCAGATGGCACTGTCTTGACTAACTATTGCTCTTGGAGCAGCTTTTGATATTTTCCACGCGCACAGACAAATCCAACAAAGAACTCTTCAGGTTGCCTCTTCTATTCGACACATTTGCGACACCCGCGGGAAAAGGGTGGAAGTGAGATCAGCATATATCAGCATACAGTGCCTGGCTTGGCCGGGGTTGTGTTTCTCTGAGATTCTTTGAGATGTTTCGACATTTTTTGATGATGTCAATGAGTTTCCTTGTTTGAGGGGTGAGCCAGCAACCGACATCAGTCGATTCTGTTGTATATCGCGTTCTACCTATATTACAGATATTACAGTTTCGAATGGACATGTTTGTCCTTCTTGAGCCCTGCAGCATAGTCAAGTCTCAGAGTCTTTTCTGGGGATCTCACCTACAAAAGACCCTAAGACATGTGAGATTCAAGCGCCAATAAGCACCACAATTAGGGACAAAAGGATTGAACATGATTTATCTAACCAAACTTACGCAACAAACATGTTCGCTGCACACCCATCAACCCCACAAGTTGGGATATATGGTTATTTTCAGCCCCAACTGACTATAGTTATTAATCTCCACTTAGAAAACTGGACCTGCACTTCCAACTTGAAAAAACTATGGTTTTATAACTGTTTCCCCACTATAGAATTTCCTATCCACTTATAACCACCTTTTCACATGCTAAAACAATAGTTTACCCTCTGGAATTTCGATAAAATTTTGCGACATAGAACATATCCACATGGCCCATAGAAATCGTTGATTTACCACTTAAAGATTGTGATTTCCAGTTCGCACACTGTAAACGTTTACCAGGCCGGGCATACACACAGCCCCTCGGAGCCTCGCCTCAGGTGCTCCTGGCAGCCATGTGCATTGTTCCCTTGGATGCTTGCGAGCCCGGTGAGCTCAGAGAGACTTTGCGAGCGCCAAGAAGGGGGAGATTTTTAGATAGTTAACTATCCTATAGAATTATTATAGTTAACTAATAGACTTTAGTTGGGTTATAGGAGTTAAATATCTATAGGATTTAACTATAGTTGACTTTGGGGATATGATGGGTCATAGAATTATTGTAGTTAACCATCCTGTAGACTGTAGAAATATATGATGGGTTATAGAATTACTATAGTTATCTATCCTATAGATTGTGGAAATACGTGACGAGTTATAGAGTTATTATAATTGACTATCCTATAGATAATAGAAGTATATGATGAGTTAAGAACTACCCCCTAGTTATAAGGGATCGTCTAACTATATATGGTATGATAGTAAACTATTTTTTGGGGGGATATACCGATATACACTGATATGATAGTTAATTATACCACCATAAGATATTTCAGGGGTTAGAGAATTATTGTCTATAATTCATCCAGAGTATAATGGGAGAATGGGATGTATACCCCAACTATCCCCAACTTGATATGATACTTGGGTGTGCCTGAAATTGTGGTATACCCTGAGAATTTCTGGACAATTGAATCGAATGGGGAATATAAAAAATGAACCATGGGATTCTCAAGGGACTGCAGGCTGCCCCATAAACCCCCAGGATATGAGCCACATGGGACTTGAACTTGGCAAAAAAAAGACTCCCCAGTAGAATTGAGGCCTAAACTTTGGATATCCGGTAGTCAAACGTGGCTACTAGTAGCTGGAAACATCACCTGTTTAGTTCGATGATTTTCCACCGCCAGGTTTGATTGCCAGAGGGTATCTTTGGATCATACCCGTGGCACCCCAATCTAAGTCACTGCCCGGGAAATGGGTCACATTTGTTTAGGCCCCATGCCGGATTGTCAAAGAGTAAGTCTGGGGTGGATCTTTGAGGACTGCGTGAAGTTAGGTAAATCATGTTCTTCACTTTTCTTTTCCAGACTGTTGACGTCTTCAATAAATCAAATATGGGTTCTCCTGGAAAAAAACAACTAGAAATTCACCCGGCATCCTGATAAGCAAAAAAGTTGGTACGTAAATAGTAAATGGGCGTCCATTCTCTCATGGTATTAGAGCTATAGACCCATCTCCAGATGTCTTGAGAAATTACTGCGACACTGAGGTCACCAAAAATGATGGTGAATAGAGGAACTTGGAATGATCGCTGAGAATGATAGGAAAACAATGCCCATGTTCAGACACACAACAGACTTAAATGTTCGTGATATATCCCATGATATATGGGAGGTTTCCTAAAATGATGGTACCCAAATATGGATGGTTTATTTCATGGAAAATCCGAGAATAAAATGGATGATTACTGATGATTTAGGGGTACCACTATTTTAGCAAACTTCCATATCTCATCATATCTCCCATCACACATCCAATGAAGAATCTCCACTTTTCAGCAAGGCCCACAGGCCGCTTCGTCAGCGTGGTGGCAGACAGTGAACCGGCAGCAGGGGCTCTATCTGATGGCTGTCGTGGCGGTACCAGGTTTTTTTTGACCCATAGCCATGCCAGGGTTTTTGACCCATCGCCATATCTGAAAATCTGAAAAATGACCACACCCTATTTCTAGGACAACTGGCTTCATTTTCGGGGCAAAACCAAGGATCCCACGCGTAGTTTGGACTTTCCCAAGGTGAGCCAGCCGTGATCGTCGCGAAGGACGGGACTATGGCCCGGTTGATTTCCCTCAGCACCTGTTGTGAGTTGGCTACATCCGGATGCTGGTTCTATTCGTAGACTTTGGTGCTGCGGTGTATCCATTTTCTATCTCCATTTCTCTTGATGACATACCTGTGCATTGACAAGTTAGTAAGATTGTACACGAGGATGGCCACTGTCGTTTTAACATTATCTCCTGCACAACTTTTCTTTCTCCTCAGCTCACTGAAGTGATTAGATTGTTCTTTTGGATTGTTTTTGGATGTTTTTTGGCCAAATAAAGAATTGTGCGATCATTTTATTTATGTCTGTATGGTTTAGGGGATTTCAGACCAATTTTTCGCAAAGGTAGTGGCAAAAAGTAAAGTTTTCTCTGGATCCCGTAGCACAAAGAACCATGGGTTGTATAGTCAACCAAAAATGGGATATACTGTATCATTCCATGCAGTTTGCGCAGACAGTGCTATTTCCATAGGTGCCGTTACCATGCAGTTTCATTCCTTCCCACGAACAAGGATCCTGCGTTAATTTGAAATAACGATGGAACATCACTTTTGATTGTAAATCATGGAACTAACTAAATGAGCCGTTTTCCATGGCTATGTCAAAATACCAGATGTTAACCCACTTATTGGCTAAGAAAGGCCATGTCAGGACGGAAACACATTGATCAACAGCCATGGCCATTGTGGCATCACTTCCTCCTGTAATGAAACGTGGCAATGGAAAGTCTCCTATAAATGATGGTTTATATTGATGTACTGTGCACCCTCATCATCATCATCATCATCATCATCATCATCACGAATCATCCATATAAGACATGTACCGTCATAATATCTGTCTGAAATATAACGACCTCACTGCGACGTCATGCCAAAACTGCCTGAAGTTTCAGGTCGGGAAAGTGTTGTAATTCTGCGAGATACACCCCACTTAGGGGACTTCGAATGAGATCCTCCGTGCAGTCCATCGATATTGGTCGTTGAGTCTCTGGCATATCTCCCATCAGATCCCTGGCCATTTCTGGCGTCCAGAACGTGGAAAGCCCGAAATTGAATGCATCCCGAAATCTCAGTTGCACCCCCTAAATTTAGGAACCCAACACTGCACACATCCAGGAGAGTTTCCGTGTCATCGCATCCTGGGTTTGTGAGGACTCATCCAACCGCTCGAGCATTCAGCAGCACTTGGTGGGGAGCCATCGGCAGGGGAATGTCATCGGCAGGATATGGTGATATCATCAGGACGGTTTGGGATTTCACCAAAGATGACAACAAATATCAGCTTTAAGTGGTTATATGGGTGTGTCAAAAAAATGTGGTATACCCAAATTTCTTGTCATGTTATATCAATCTATCTATCTATCAATCTATCTAATCTAATCTAAATCTAAATCTAAATCTAAATCTAATCTAATCTAGTCTAATCTAATCTTATCTTATCCTATCTTATCCTATCTTATCCTATCTTATCCGATCTTACCCTATCTTATCCTATCTTATCCTATCTTATCCTATCTTATCCTATCTTATCCTATCTTATCCTATCTTATCCTATCTCATCCTATCTCATCCTATCTCATCCTATCTTATCCTATCTTATATCTATTCCTATCTATTCCTATCTATTCCTATCTATTCCTATCTATGCTCTATTCCTATCTATTCCTATCTATTCCTATCTATGCCCATCTATTCCTATCTATTCCTATCTATTCCTATCTATGCCTATCTATTCCTATCTATTCTATTCCTATCTATTCCTATCTATTCCTATCTATTCCTATCTATTCCTATCTATTCCTATCTATTCCTATCTATTCCTATCGATTCCTATCTATTCCTATCTATTCCTATCTATTCCTATCTATTCCTATCTATTCCCTATCTATTCCTATTCTATTCCTATCTATTCCTATCTATTCCTATCTATTCCTCTATTCCTATCTATTCCTATCTATTCCTATCTATTCCTATCTATTCCTATCTATTCCTATCTATTCCTATCTATTCCTATCTATTCCTATCTATTCCTATCTATTCCTATCTATTCCTATCTATTCCTATCTATTCCTATCTATCTATGTTCATTGGAAATTTGATGAAAAACCATGGGAAGGAATGCGGTCCACCATTTTGAGACACCCAGATGAAGTTCCATGATATCATATAGCACAGAATATGCAGATGCAAAAAGTTGGATGCACAATCGTGGCTGCCTACTCATTCTCTTTCTGTAGTATGGTGTAGAATTGGATACCTTAGATTTGACTGCAATTGTGCATGACTAGAGGGGTAGACCTATTAATACACACGTCTTACATATCTAGGTACCCGAAACATGGACATATACAATCATATGTATACGTATATAACAAAGGCGTGTCCAAACATGATGATCTGATGCATCCGCATAAATGTAATTTGACCATATTTGAAATTTGATCCGGAGCATGATTTTCTGAACCATAGGATGGACAGTTTTTTTTTTCAACATAGGGTGATAAACTCATATAGGGTGTGCATCCCAATCGTCAGTATATGGAACATCCCTGGTGATATAATGGGAGGTTCCTAAATGGGGGTACCTCCAGTTCTCATCCACATTTCATTTTCGGATGTTCCAAGAAACCAGCTATTGGGGTAGCCCCTATGACTATGGACACCTCCATATGGTCGTATGAACCACTTATGATTGGGATGCTCTCCGTCGCAGTATTTCCCAGAGCTTCCCACCCTCCAGGCCTCTGATTTGCTTCCAGGACGTCGGCAGACGGTGCCATGGCTGGCCATGTCGGTGTCAATGGCTAAACCATGATGGGTGTCTGCAAAAAAGGGAGATATACACCCCAAAATGGCTGTCAGAAGAATGACAATGAAACTATGTAGGATGGCATGGGCTACTTATTTTCAGACAAACCCATCTAATTTCGAATGTTTTCGAATGTTTTCTACCAATTTTTCTTGGTTAATCATGGCTAATCACTATTTAAATCATATTAAATCACTATTTAAGTCTATATATTATATATATAATACATATTCCCTATATTTTCTTGGATAATCCTTATGAATCAGCATCATAAAAAGCCCTCATTTTTGATGTGTCCAGCTTTGGAAGGCCGTCCTCCTGGCAGCTGAGCTGCTGGAGGTCTGCGAGCTTTGCGCTGAGGTGGGGATGGGGGGGATTCCATGCAGAAAAATGGCGGATTTCATGGTAATTGTCATTCTGATTCAATCCAGAATTATCCAAGAAAAAATATAGGGATTTCATAGTGATTCATTAGTGGTTTAATAGTGATGAACCATGATTCACCAAGATAACATCTTGAAAAAATGGGATTTCAAGCCACAGAAATGGTGCAAAAGAATGGGATTCTCAACTGGTGATGTTCAGGAAGAAAAAGGCCGTGTTCACGATGGGAGTCAGCGGGGAGTCATCCCCAAACTGTCTCATCTATCTTTCTCCAGTTTAGGAACATTAGGAACTATTCAAATTTGCCCAGATTGCCCAGATTGTTCACATTGGAGTGGGATCGAGGTGCCCACTAAAAATGTAAAGGGATCTCCTTGCGTGATAGATCTAGATGACTGTCATGTACTCAGATGATGGCTTTGATCGGGTGGACTTTGTGCGTATTTTGATATTTCCTGATGTGTATTGAATTCCCCTACCAGATATAATCTAGATATAATAGATCTAGATGCATGCTTGTGGATATTGGCATTCCTTGAGACTTGGCAACTCTTTTTGGCTCCAGCCCTTCACTAAACAGATGGTCATTGCATTCAATCCACGTGTGCGACAACATGGAGGAGGAAAATGTAAATGTAAAGGCTCAACATGAAACTGCTATCAATTATCATTGAACATATGCCAAGATCGAGAATGGATCCATGTGCCAAGATTGCAGACACCAATCGTTGACGCTTGATGCACGAGCTGAATAGAATCAGGTAGAGTGGTTGGTAGCTTCATATATCATTTGTTGTTTCGTTCCATATTTCTTCCTGTCCTTCCATATTAGGCTAAGTGATTTACCCAGTTGACCCAAGATATCTTGGCGGATCAGTGCGAGCCAGCGTTGGGCATCTACGGCCGTGAGACATCTCTTTGGGGCCATCAATCTCGAAGCCATACGGTGCGGGTGCACATCAACTGTTGTTAAACACCTAGTTGTTGATGGTAGAATCACAACAGCCAATCGCGAAATCCCTTATTTTTTTTGTCGTTATCTTCATGTATTCCCAATATTTGATGAGTGCATAGCTTGGCGAAAGATCTGGCCTTGGGCGATGCTCAAATCATCTTAAAGCCGCCAGACTTCAGTAGATGTGCCAAGTTCTCTTTCTGGACATCGATGGTGTCCTGCATCCAGCCGTGCCCCACGGCGAAGTGTTCCTGGAGGACGGATGATTTACGGATCCCGGCTGTGGATGAAACTCCCTTTTCGTTTACTGGCGACTGAACGCACGTAGTGAATATGACCTTCAACTGAATTCAGAATCATTCGTGCATCCACCTCAATCCAACAATTATCGGAACATGGTTCACTCCGTTCCTTTACAAGGTTAGGCGCTCGACTCTCGCGCTGTATTTTCATACGGCCAAGATGTATCAACGTGGGGCCATTTTTGCTAGGAACGGGCAAACGCAAGTCCGATGGTAGTTGGATTTAGGTGGATGTATTTATGAATCCAGTTGAAGGCTATCTTATATGTAGAGGGCTGAACTGCAACAACCTCACTGCAACCTCATTGGAATAATGGTTAGGAGGGGTAAGTAGCAACTATCCCCAAATTGTGTGATTTCATCTTATTCAATGATTACAATCTATCCATATACCCTTCGGTAATCAAACGTGGCAATGGACAATCTCCCATTTATAGATGATTTTTCCAGCTATAAACACCATAGGGGATTTCCAGCCAGCCACGTTTGATTACTGGAGGGTAGAGCAATAATTATGAATTAATCAATATTCCATGAATTTTCCATCATCGATCGTATTGATGGATTTGAATCATAGTTAACTATATCTCCACTAATTACCATGTGCATTTCCGAGGATTTGTCCCATGGTTTTTCGGGGGGCTCTTCCGTGCATTGCCCAGGACCGCCTGCTGCTGCTGAGCCGTGTGCTGTCGCAGCTGCCGAAGGCCAAAGTGGTGCTGTCCTCCACCTGGCGCAGAGATGAGGCGAAAATCCAGATTTCATGGTGAATCAATGGCGAATTATAAAAGGTCTATTATAGTGTGCTATAATGGTGTTATAATATGTTATAATGGTAACATAATATTTTATAATCGTGGTTATAGACTAGTAGTTTTGATAGAATGGCCTATGATGATATGTTTGTAATAGTGGTTAATTATATGTGGTTATAGTCTTATTGACTAGGTGCTAATGTATTTATAATGAATGGTTATAGTTATTATGCTGATGATCATCATGGGTTATAGAAACCAACCATATATGAACCATTTACCATTACTACACTATTAGTCATCATGGTTGATATTGTGTTTAATATTATATACTCAGTCATAATAGCAATCAACCATAGTCAACCGTAGTATATAGTATATCATGATGAGTAGTGGTATTATTTTGGGCTCGGGGCTCGGGGTGTAAAATGGATATTATATAATTAGTACTGTAATCTACAGTTGGATTAAAAAAAAAACTTACCATTTGGTTATTTAACATAGCCATGGAAAATGGCCCATTTGTAGATGGTTTACCTATTAAAAATTGTGATTTTCCATGGCTATGTTAAATAACCAGAGGGTAAAAGTTGAGAAAATACTAATCTGAAGTTGGGTTTCACTTTAAACTTGTAAGTTGGAGGATCATCTCACTGAAAGCAAGTGATATCAATCATTATCAATCTCCTTTCTGATCCTTTTTGTATCTGTTTTTTGTTTAACTTATAAGTTGGAAAATCGGTACATAAACAACTGGTTGGTGGTTTCAAACATTTTTTTCCACAATATATGGGAGAATCCACCAACCATTGACTTTCATATTTTTCAAGATGGTTAAAACCACCAACCAGAAAAAATGAATAACATTATGTTGCCCATAACTCACTAACTGGGATGCAGCAACAACTCCGGGGAGATCTGAGTTTTTTTGAGGCGCTCTTTTTGGAAGCCACGCAGCAGCTTGAGGCACACCAGGCGAGATGTTGGCCTCAGGAACGTTCCAAAAATTTCAACCTTCGGACGAATTGCAGGATCTATAAACTGTTAGGGGGTATGTGTGAATCCAACTATGATCGTTATTGGATGTATCTAGGCCCTCTATTGGCAAGGATCAATTCAGGTTGATAGTTGCTTACATTATAGTTCCTGCCATCAGCAGAATCATCAGTCGTTCCCTCTTTGATTGCACAAAGCACGTCCCAAGTTACAATCGCAACTTGCGGCACAAGACCAATCGCCTACAAGCAGACACCAGTAGATAGTATATATTATATATATTATATTTACACAGTACACATACGTATATATATATATATTATATGTACGTATGAATATGATTTATCATGATGTATATCATCAATCATCTAGAAGCTTTAATTTTGATGGTCAAAAAGCCACGTGATAGTTAAATACTACTTTGATGGCCAACTGCCCACTATTCATGGTCGAAGAATCATTCATTATCATTCATTATTGCTTCCCTGCAAGGTTAGGATCAGCGGAACTACACCGATTTCTGGCTACGAGACCAGAGTCGACGAGATCTGCGCGTGGTTGGAGGTTCGTACCGTGCCACACCGTGCGCTACTTCGAGTTGCGTTAAAATGGCGTTCCGTGAGGTTAATTACATCACGGTACAGTACATGTCGTCCGTAGATGTAGTTAATGCAGCTAGATAGATAAATAATAATATATATATATGTATGTATATAATATTAGATCATATGCCACGGTCAAGAGTTGAGTTGTGTACCCATCTTGGGAGATAGTCATCAATCCATCTTCATAGGGATTTAGCCATTGTAAGGATTCCCAGTATGGACGGGTGTGGATTGAAGTAAACCATATACCATCGTTTGACCGTGGCACATACTATCCACATGGAACCATAGCATATATATATATATCCATATATGGGGATAATATATGATAATATCACATACAACTGTGGTAAATCAACATACAATATGGGGATAGCATCTATATGTTCAAATCAACTGTGGTAAAGCCAACAATAGACCAGTCATCTTATAGCATCCCCAAAAACGGGGTATACCATGGTATACCCAATGCCATAGGCTTCTATTGGGGATGGTTTATGGTTGGGTTTACCACACTATTACCACCTTACATACATCATATATCTCGCGAGTGGTCCATTTATCCAGCTCTTTTTTCTCAACAGAATTGCCTGACATGGATCATTTGTGCATTATTGTGTATCTTCAAATCAACTAATACATATGTTTTCTATAGTATTTATCATCATAATCCTCATCATAATCCTCATCATATCCATATATTCCATAATTCCATATCTTCCATATATGTATTTTCAAATCAATTCATACATTGTCATCCGAAGAACTCGTGCCACGAGGCCAGCATGGCGCGCGGACTTGAGACGACCTCCTTCGTGGTGCTCGACGACCAAGCGATGGACGAGGAGATCCTGCACGTTGCCCGGCGCCGGTGTTCCGGGATTCTTTGTGAGAAAAAGGGGTGGGTGGTTTAATGATTTT